AGCGAGCGGCGCGCCGGTCAAATGCTCAAGGCCGTTCGCATGGAGTAGCCCCTTAAACTAAGTTTGTATAAAAAGGGTTATTATAATATTAAAGAATTTATAGATGATAATAACCCCTGGAAATGAAGTGATCGCTACCAAGCTATTTCTAATTTGTTGTGTTGTTAATTTGTGTAACATACATGATAGTAAGCTGTTATTTAAAAAAATCCCGCTGGGTTTCTCGCTTGTTCTTCCCTGGACAGAGGTTTTTTTTAGAACCAGTGGTAATTATACAAAAGAGTGACTTTCAGTAAGTATTATTTATAATCTATATTGAATAAAAAAGTTTCTGTTCCTGTAATTTATGCCGAACCCAGCAAGTGAGGAGTTCATGGATCTTTATGCCCGGAAGGAGAGCCGCGTACAGGAGTTGTCGCCCGCGCCACCGCTTGCAGGATAGTGGTACATCTCCTCCGCTGAATTGCGGAGGACAGTGACCCGCCTGCAACCGAGGAAGGAGCCGGGGCATGATGGGATTACCAACGCTGCACTTCGACAGCTACCCAATAGGACATTAGTAGAGATAGGACGACTCTACAATGGAATACTGCGGACATCCCAATTCACGGAGGAATGGAAGATCAGCTAGGTGATCGTGTTGCCAAAACCCGGGAAGGACAGGCGTAGAGCTGCCAGCTACAGGCTGATTACGCTGCTGCCGCACATAGCTAAACTTCTAGAAAGATTACTGCTCATACAACTTCGGGCGGAGCAGCACTGATTCAGGAGGAATCACTCGACTCAGCTGACCAGAGTGCTGCACTACCTTGCGGCTGAGCACAACCGCGACCGGACTTCGTTGGGCATCCTGCTCGACATGGAGAAGGCGTTCGACAGGGTGTGGCACTCTGGATTACTCTACAAGCTAGAAGAACAGACTAGTATCCCTCCTGCTATGTTGCGGCTAGTAGCGTCATTCCTGGCTGATAGGAAGTTCTACGTCTGTGTAGAGGACGCCATGTCCGTAGCAAGACTACTATCAGAGCCCATCAGAGCCGGTCACCACAGGGAAGCTGTCTGTCTCCAGTCCTGTACGCGGCTTACACCAACGACATCCCAACACTGGCAGGACACCTTAGCGAGTGGGAGGACGACGCAGAGCTGCTACTTCACCTCTTCCAGAAAAGCCCACATCGCCACTGCCAGGATGCAAAGGCTGTTGAACCTGCTGCCAGCATGGCTGGATGAGTGGAGGATGGCCGTCAATGTTGATAAGACGACCGCTCTGCTCACTCGCAGCCTCAGAAACCTACCCCCGCTACTGACGCTCAGAGGCCAGGACATCGCATACGAGAAGGCCGTGACGTATCTTGGATGCCGGATCGACAGGATGCTGCGCATGATCGCGCACGTCGATCTCAATGTCCGCAACGCAAGAGGTGCGCGGGCGACGCTACGTCCCGTCCTGGCATCTAAGCTACCTATAAAAACAAAGATCAAACTATATAAACTGTACATAAGACCCGTATTGATTTACGCAGCTCCGGCCTGGTATGCGCTCCTGAGCAATGGCAGAAGCGGCGACTGCAGTCCCAACAGAACCTAGCACTAAGGACCATAGTCGGTGCAGGCCGCTCCGTCCAGAATGACGTCATAGCGGCCAACCTGAAGATCGAATCCATTGAAGAGTTTGTGGTTCGGCTGTTGCGCGATATGTTTAACCGCGCCGACAACGGGCCACACCCCATTTAAATAACTTTGCGCCGCTACACGCCCGCCCGAGTAATAAGCCACAATGCCACAGATAGGCCTTATTACTTAGACGCCTAGTTAGGCCAACTTTAGACGCCCATAGGCCAAATCAGACGCCTGAAACCGTGGAATCGAACCCGCGACTGCTGCACTTTTATTAAGATAAATGCCAAAAAAGCACCCAAACCGGCCCATAGTTATGGGCTGTAAGGAAAATACGGGTAATGGGGAGTGCCCTGAGGCCTGATGCCTGTAGTGCTAATAGCATGCAGAAGAATACAACGTCGAGTAATAGATTAGCAAAAAATGAGGTGTATAAAGAAGTTTTGTAGTTTACTAGATTTTGCCCGCGACATCCAGGTATAATTGTGGCTTGTACGAGCAAACCCTTTTTCACACAGGCGCGATATAACCGAACTACACGCGGACGAAGTAGCGGGCAAAAACTAGTTGAATTATAAGTGTATTTTTTTTCTATTTATTAGGTTTACCAACAATTGCTAACACTAACACATCAAATTAGTACAATTACTTAAATGTATTAACAAAAGTGCTACAATGACTTAAAGTAAACTCCGCATGCATATAATTTTATAAAAACATAAACTGAAAAAGCAATAAGTTATTCCTCAACTAAAATTAAAAATATATCTATTAGTAAGAACAGTACTATATAAACTCAAAAAATGAAAGTAATAAAAAATAAAAAAGAATATATACTTTACTCTACGCTATTAAGTTATACATTTACGGAGACACTTAGAGAATATTCTGGGTGAGTCAAAGTGAATGTCGATTTGATCGCTGTATCCATTAATAACTTTACAGAATGCGGCATATGGAGAATTCCTTCCCAATACAGTTCTGCTTAATGGTGAACTAAGTGGTGCAATAGAACTGCGGGGTACACTCGACGGTACACGAAATTTAAAAAGTTCCAACAAACTTGGGCAATTTAATGTAGAATTAAATATTTTATGTTTAAAAACTGCATCATTATACTTTTTGTGAATCTCTAAGGTTTCCACATTAAAAAGATGTAATTTACTATTATAGGACCGTAGCTTTTTTGCTTCAATAGAAAATGCAAGATGCCAGAGGAACCGCTTTTGAACACGTTCAATACGTAATGAATGTGTAGTATAGTGTGGTCTCCAGACCACACTACAATATTCTAAAATATTACGACCTAGACTATTGTAAAAAATATTTTGGTTTTGTAATGCATATTTTTTGCGTTCCTTATAACAAAGCCCAACATTTTAGATGCTCTCATAGTAATGGTATCCAAATGTGGTACGAAAGTTAATTTTTTGTTGAATATTACGCCAAGATCCCGAACAGTCTCTACTTCCTTAATTTCATTATTATAAATGAAGTAACTGACATGTATTAAATTCTGTTTTTTGGAGTATTTAACATGATAAAATTTACTTGTATTTAAGTACATTCTATTATTGCAGCACCACTGGATTAGTCTATCAATGTCACCCATAAATTTCACTCATAAATTTTAAGTCATCGCCATATAAAAAATATTTTGAAAACAGAAAACATTCTTTAATATCATTTATGAAATTTTTTAAATAAAACTGGTCCCAAATGCAAACCCTGAGGAACACCGGACTTATAGTTTTTGTATTTGATTGAAAACCATTAATTGCAACAAAGAAGGTCCTGTGCACTAAATACGAATTCCACCATTTAAGTAACGAGCCACAAATCCCGTAGGCACTCAACTTAGAAATCAAGATCTTATGCGAAAACTTGTCAAAAGCTTTGCTAAAGTCAGTATAAATAACATCAGCCTGATGGGCCCATGTCAATAGCCTTAGTTGCTAAGATTTCACAACGCCCGCCTATAAGTTTCAGTACGATTCTATCCAACGGATTTTTATATTAATTATATCGTTTCCTCATCCTATTTTTTTCGTTTAATAATTTAATAAGTTTATGATCAAACCACGATGGAAATTTGTAAGTTTTTAATTTATAATAAGGTACAAAATTTTGTAAAAGATCTCAAGAAACTCATTCACATCACACAATCCATCAAACTTCTCTACCCAATTAATTTCTCGTAAAATTTACGGATTAATTCGTAATTTGCTTTATAAAAATTTGGTCTCTTATTATTGATATTATATGGTAATCTAGTTTCATTATCTACGTGAATCACAATATTAAGAGGTGGATGTTGTAGGTCAATTTTACTTAAGGCATCGATATTTTTGCTTACACTACAAGATGAGATTTTTTTGATTTTAAATATTAATTAACTTCAACTACATTAGCATTTTCAATCTCAACAGAGATCATTTTTTATCTTTCAATTTATACGTGAATAAATATTATTAAGAATTGTATAATGTTTTTTCTTTGCTATTTTTAAAAGAATTGCCCAATTTCAGCGCATATTTTCCACCGTGACTGAAGCGCTATCAACACTTCAAGATCTTCGTTACAAACGAACATGACTCTAGACTGGTTAATTTTAATATGAGAAATATTACACTCATTAATTAAGTTATGCAATGGCTCAGCAAAAGGGGGGGGGGGCAGGCTGGCAATGGCCCTGAGTAAGAGACGTATAACTTTATAATTGTTGCCAGAAAAAATAAATACACTTAATATATACCTAATATTGAGATAATCTTCAAATACACTTACCAAGGGTATATAAGTGTAAAAGTACCTACATTTTATTATTACTTTTTAAATCATATACCTACATCGATTTTAATAATCAATTAATAATAATCAATTTATTACCCTTTTTATTTTCTGCTTTGTTAAATAGTTATGTTTTACTTAAATGGAGTTATCATACATCTAATTGAGGTTATTTTTTAAATTCAATCTTTCAAGTAGATTTTAGTCTTATTGCTGATTGCCGGTTTTTATCGATTTATTTTCAATGTTTTTTAAGTATTCCATGTGATGCCGAACTTGCGCCTTGTAAAGTTGCAAGCGGTGTGCCGGCATGAAATATAATCCCGCTCTGTTGCTTTTGAACTTTTTCTACGTGAAATGATATTGATGATTCTTTTATTATTTGAAAGCTGATGCTTCTCATGTGGTCCTATATTATATATTTCAATGATACTCTACTAATGATTTCATGATCAAGATCTGACCGGTACTTTTTGAGTTATCCTTAATAATATGTATTTAATTTGGACTACATTGACGATGTTCTCATTTTATTAAAATGAAGTCGGTTGTACAAAAATTGTAATTTTACTAGTTGTTTAATATCTTTTTAGGTGATCGAGTAAAAGAGAACATTCGATGGATAGATACTCGAACTGAAATTCTATGTATACCATGCATTCTGATTTTCCTTCTGGCCTCTTACGAGCAGTATAAAAGCAACGTCATACTAGCTAACCTGCGTAAAGACAAGAAGACAGGAGCCGTGGTCACTGAAGAGCACAGAGTACCTCGCGGCAGGTTGTTCGAGTGCGTCTCCAGTCCGCACAGACTATGCGAGGTTATCCTCTACATCGTCATCGCTGTTCTGATACCTACGAAGACGATAATAATTATGTGTGTGTGGGTGCTATGCAATCAGGTAAGCTTACTTTAGCGCTATATGGTGACGTAAGCATATCTCTCATCCCAGTGGTGAAGCGTCAAAAGGCTTGCTGCCGCCTGGGTCCGCTGTTCAAAAATGCCGCAAATCATTTTTACAAATCTTTTAAAATCGATGTATGTGAAGATTATCTCAATATTAGGTGTATATTTCAAAACCATTAGGTATTGCCACAATCGTTATATTTTATCGAGCCTAATGTAAAAGATATTTTTCAGAATTTTCCTGGTGTCAATTAAAAAGTTATACTTACATCTGTTGCTCAGGACCATTGCCAGCCTGGCCCCAGTTAAATATTTTATTATAATATTTTGTAGCCTGTTTAGGTACTGAAATAAAAAAAAACACATGGGGTTTTAATCGATACTGATATATTTAAGTTAGTATCAATATGCTTTCATTTAAGTCACTGTTAAACGGTTATTTTATTATTATTAACGCAAAGAAACCAAACGTCGAAAGTTGTAACAAAGCCAATTACGATTCCCAACAGAGACTGTGTAGTCGCAATAACACTACAGTTTGTTTACAACAAAACCATATAACCCTATGAACGTTTATTTCAGGTCCAGTGTGCCTTCTTCGTCCACGTGTGGTATAGAAAAACTTTCAAATACTACCCCGATAACAGGATGGCAATTATTCCTTATTTATTGTGACTAACCGAATTTAAAAATACCATGTTTTTTTAACTTTATTTAAAAATACCATGTTTTATAATGTTATTAAAGTTAAAATAAAGAAATAAATAGTGTATAGTTTGAGTAAGGGGACCGACGCCACCAATACTAAGAAATAGAGAGAGAGAGAGAGAGAGAGATAAAGAAAGTGAGACTAATTATAGTCATAATAGTGCATTTGACTTCCTGGAACTGAAATAAAAACAATATTGGTACAGTGGTTCACAGACAGAATACATTATGACAACAGTTGTCACTTTTAAGTTTTAAGTCACAGGAACGCTATAGCGCTGGACGAAAGGCAGAGGCGATGCGCACGAATTTAATTGCACAAATGCGACTGTAGAACCAATCAGTCCGACTTATGCACAATAAGCCAATCATCATGACTTATGCACAATAACGGTTACCGCTACACTTTCGTGACGCTACTTATACCTAATCTGATTTTTTTTTCTACTTTGATCAAATGTTATTTCCAAAAAAATTTTAAATTCCTATTAAGTGCAAAGTCCTATTTGCTAGCTTTTACATTTTACAACTAATGATTTCTTATATTTACGCGAACACTACACATTGAATAAAACTACTTTTACGAATTTTATCGCGTTTAATTGACTTATTTTTATTAATTCCCGACGTTTCGGGTGCTTTACAGCACCCATGGTCACGGGGGACTGAGTTGATTGACGTCCCGATGTACAGAGTTCCCGAAGCACCCGAAACGTCGGGAATTAATAAAAATAAATCAATTAAACGCGATAAAATCCGTAAAAGTAGATTTATTCAATTTTACAGCTAATTCATTAAAATATTTTTATGAAAAAGAAATAGTTTATTTTTGTACGAAACATAGCCAATCAAATTAGGTAGTGAAGATATTAAGAAAAATAAAGCATTTATTTTTTAAGTTTAATTTATTAGATTACACTTTTATCAAATTGAACTCACAATAAATTATCTCTTGAAATAAAATATATACTTATGGTCTCACTATTTGAATAGAAAACTGAAAAGAAATAGAAAATATTATTTAATAATTGGTATATTTTATATTTTAAGTTCATTTTGTTTTGACATTACTTTTTTTATACATTAGGAGTCACTCAAAAACAATTACTTCAAAGTAAAATTGATCATAATTAAAAATGTCTAATCATTTGTGGTAGCTCAGGGTTCCAGACCAAACTTTGCACCGTTTGCGTTGCCACCCCCGAGGAATGCCTTGTTTCCAGTAAAAAGGGTCTCCGGTTCTCTACACTCAGCATACGAAACACAGCAGCATTGAGCTGTTATTTTACGCTGGTATTCTGTGAGAGCGTAGTGGTCCTTCCTCTCCCGAGCCGACCGATTCATGCTACTACCACAATATAGCTGCAGCATAGCTCCACCACGTTTATGTGCCACAGCATTCACTTACCACTCATTAGACTGTGTGCTTATTTGTCATACTACGATCATCATTCATTATCATCATTACAGCCCTTCACAAGTCCACTACTGAACATAGGCCTCCCCCAAGGAATGCTACAAATTACGGTCCTGACCCACCTGCATCCATCGAGTTCCTGCATGTCTCACCAGGTCGTCACTCCGTCTAGTGGGGGAACGCCCTACGCTTCGCTTACCGGTACGAGGCTGCCACTCGAGGACCCTTCCTCCCCATCGGTAGTCGGTTCTTCGAGCTATATGGCCGGCCCTTTGCCACTCCAGCTTACTGATCCGTTGGGCTATGGCGGTCACTCTGGTTCTACTGCGAATATCCTCATTTCTAAGTTTATCACGCAGAGAAACTTCGATCATAGCCCTCTCCATAGCTCTTTGAGCGACCTTGAGCTTCCTCATACGGCCAGCAGGGAAAGACCACGTCTCAGTTCCATAGGTCTCACAGGCAACACGCACTGGTTGTACAGTCTCGATTTCAAGTTTTGAGGTATACCTGACGAGAAGATGTGCCGTAATTTCCCGAACGCTGTCCAGCCGAGTTGATTTCGTCGATTGACCTCTAGGTCGAAGTTGGACTTACCTACCTAATCAGACTATTTGTTCCAAGTAAACATACTCGTCAACAACTTCTAGCTTAGTGCTCCCAACAACTACCGGCATAGGTGTGACATGGACGTTATAGATTAATCTTTGACATTGGACATTAGATTAATCTTTGCACAAATATCACGCAAATATTTGTGCAAAGATTAATTCTAATGTTAGACTCTAAATATTACGAAAAGCATTTTATTAAAAATATAAAAAATCGCAGTAATGTATCTGACAATATGCACATTATGGAAAAATCCCAAGAAATAATTACGTTATCTTACGAAAGTAAAACTGCTGAACCTAAAATTGGCACCATACCATATTATTTTAAAAAGGTGAATAAATTTAATAAGACATTTTAACTGTTGAAAATAGCACAAGCCTAAATATGTCCACGACTCCATTTTTTCGCACACAATAACAACCAAAAACATGAAATTACTTCCATACTACATCAAAACATAGCAGGTTTGCTTAACAAAACTGATTCGATAGAACTATGTATCGATGAGCTAATAAATGAGGGGCAATCAATAAGCTTTTTATGTTTTAGTGAAACATTTGTTAAAAAGGGAGATGAGAGTAACATTAAGTTTAAACATTTTAAATTAGCTTCACTGTATTGTAGAACAAAAGAATAACGTGGGGGAGTATGTATCCTTATTAGAAAGTCAATAGAATTTAAAGTTATACAATTGTGCCATGAATTATCTGCAGACAAAGTTTTCGAGTGTTGCGGTATAGAGGTACCAAGTTACAACTGTATAATTTTTTGTGTATATAGAACTCCCAATTCGCCAGTATCAATATTTTTCAACAAATTAGATCTTATTTTTCATAAACTAGCATTGAAGCTAAACAAAAGAAAGTCATTTTATGTGGTGACTTTAATATTGACACGCTTAAAAATAATAACGTCACTGATGACTTAAAAAATTTATTATACAACTACAACCTTAAAATACATAATGATAAACCTACGAGGCATCACACATGTATTGATCATATAGCTAGCAATTTCAAAGAGTCGGATGTTTCTAGTACCCTGTACAATTTTCATTTATCAGATTATAACACCTGTCAATCTCTAAGATTTCCAATTAAACTGCTACCTAAAATTAAATACTGGTATACTACCAAAAGAAATTACTCTAAGGAAAATATTGATAAGTTTAGTAAATGTCTCCGAAATATATCGTGGGAAAAAGAAACTACAGATGACACTTTTAATAATATTTTTAATAAATTTCATGATTTAATTTGTTTATTATATGACCTCTGCTTTCCATTACAAAAATATAAAATGAAAACAGACAATCTCGCTCCAAAGTGGATCACAAAAGGTATAAGAGTTGCGAGTAAAACTAAAAGAAAACTAAAACATAAATATTACGAACACAAAGGTTTAGAAAACAAAGTAATTTATGACAAATATTCAAAATTATTAAAAAGATGCGTAACATGGTCAAAAAAAAATTTAAACATGCAACACCTGTTACATTCAAAAAGTAAAAGTAAAGCTACCTGGGAAATTATTAAAAATTATGAATATAATGATATACGAAATAATAATATTGACTGGATTAATTGTAAAGGAACTAAAATAGATCATCCTTTCGACATTGCCAGTAAATTTAATGAGTGTTTTATTAATGCAGCTCTTCGTGACTCTTCTTCTTCTTCTCTCCAGCGATTCTGCCATAGGACTATATCGTCGGCAAATCGAAGGTGAGTGATGTATTCGCCATTGATGTTAATTTCATGCCGGCACATCGCTTGCACCTTTACAAAGCGCAAGTTCGGCATCACATGGAATACTGTTCTCATCTCTGGACCGGGGCACCCCAGTGCACGCTTCTTCCACTTGACCGCATCCAGCTGTAACGAACCCCCCCCCCCCCCCATCTTTTTTCTGTTCTACTATATATCCACTTATACTTGTATTTCTTTAGAATCTATATCTGTAAGATATATAAATATATCTAATTTACGTGACCAGTATATCTTGATCTTTCTAAAGGTTTAAATATAGGCCGTTTAATAAATTTATGGCGTGATCGTCTTAGTTAGGACCCTTTTTTACGTTGTGTTTGTATAGTAACTTAGTTCTTTTAGGTGTATCTTGGAAGAATGAATATTCACGAGAGCAATCGAAAGCTGTTGGTAGAGTCTTATAAGCTAAAGAACCCCGTTCACGAAGACAGAGCTCAAAAAGGTTAAGAACAATAAATTGTCCCTATTCCACTTGTATCTGGTTCACAACAGTCAATTCCTTATTAATTAATCCTTTCCCGCTTGGAAAAGGCCCACAATATTTATATCAAATACCAGTTACAAGGGCTTCGCTCTCCCACATTTTAAAAAAAATGTGGAGGAGGTACACGGCCCCACACACGCCGCGCACGGTGAGCGCCAACTATTTTAATGCGCTCCTCCCGAAGGGTACGCAAAGTTGGGAACTGGACCGTAGTCCACAGCGAAATAACTGGCGAACCAGTAAAAGAGGACTTGGCCCCTTGATAGTGCGTAAGCACAAACATCGACCGAAGTCGCGCATGTCAATGCGTGTAAACGCCATACAGAATACGATCAAATCCAGCCACAGTGAAATATACGTCACACGGGTTAGGCAACAATCGGCACACTGACCATAAAAAGCCCTCCGTGAGCGCCACCACCTGCCAGACCGCCGTTTCTGCAGACGTGATGTAAGTGTAAGGCATCACCACCAATTGCATGGTCAGCACGGCCAATTGGCCGCAGAGCGTGTCATGAGTCTACCTCACCTCAAGGGAATGGGGTCCCACGTTCCGCGGCTTTCGGCCGCAGCCTTGAGAGCCTCCTCAGATTCTCCCTCCAGCTACCACCCGCATGAGGTCGACACATATGCTCCACCAACCAATACAATGGCAGATATAGCCAATAGGCAGTTATAAGAT